GGTGTGGGGGGCGGGGGTGTTGGTGTGTGTGTGTGTGTGTGTGTGTGTGTGTGTGTGTGTGTGTGTAGCAGGGAGGTTAATGACATCGACAGTGCTCACTCTTATTTTAACTGTGGAACGCTCTTTTCCAGGAGGTGCTACCTGGAACCGAGGACATGGGAGTGGGAAGGGGCCAGTACTTTGAGCCTGGCTTTCTGGCTTCAACTCCCAGCCGATAAGTTCAGTCACTGTGTGTCCTGGGCAAGTGGGTCTGTCTTTTTGCGCCCCGGTTGTCAAATACAATAATATGTGTGTGTCTGTGCATGTATGTATACGGACACACAACCGATGTTTATGACTCATGGGTTCTGTATTTGGAAATTTGCCTACGCACTAAGATTTATTTGTGACCCTCAGATCACAAATACCTGTGGTGCTTGTGTGGCCGTTCGTGGACGCGCGCACAGTGGCAGAAAACTCCAGGCACCCAACAGGCAGGGTCCCAGTGAGGCTGAACGCGGCAACACTTGCCCACGTTGTTCGACTCCCATCCTGTAAACCAGTGTGCTTTTCACTGTCCATTCAGTGTCACTCGCATTTTTGTGCTTTTTTTGTGTGTGATCTCGAGTTTAAAATGCCCCCAAGGCATAGTTGCGCTGTGTGTTCATTGTTAATGAATCAACAATATACAGTATATTACAGCGTGGCTCAGTGGTTGAGCATCAACCTATGAACCAGGAGGTCACGGTTCGATTCCCAGTCAGGGCATATGCCGGGGTGGCGGGCTCCATCCTCAGTGTGGAGCGCACAGGAGGCAGCTGATCAATGACTCTCTCTCAATTGATGTTTCTATCTCTCTCTCCCTCTCCCTTCCTCTCTGAAATCAATAAAAATATTTTTTAAATGTTTTAAAAGAATAGTTTATTGAATTTTAGAGGGGGGGGGAGGGAAAACCATTGATTGGAGAGTGCAGCATCAAGCGGCTGCCTGCTGCACGCCCACCACCCTCTGACCCCCAAATGCCTTTCAAAATTATGCTTCGTCTCTGGACTCCTATTTAATCTACGCACAACCTTCTCCAGACTGCCGAACCCTTCTGAATGCTGGAACAAGAACCCCGGAACTATATTACATAAGGTGTGTTTCTTTAAACAGAAACACACATAAAGGTTTTTATGTAGTGACTGGTCGACAAAAATGTGAGCAGTCTGGCAGGAATCTAACTAACCCTGTATTCCCCTAGGAGCGCGGGCTCAGTATTGGATAACTCAGTGTCTGCTGAAACTTTGCAGAACAGGAGCGGAGAACCGGCTGCATATCTCTCTATGCATCTCAGATTGTAGTGCATTGAGATGACTGCTAGGAAGGCTCAGGGGAAAGGTCCAGGGTGGGACCTCACCTGCCTTCCCCTCGCCCCCAAGGCAGCTCCTGAGAGAGGCCCTGGGGCAGCCAAGGTTACGGGAGGAAAACCACCAGCCCAGCTGTTCGCCCGGTTCTCTTTCTGCTCTAACAGTCTGGCTTCTGTAACACGATCTGGAGGTCTAGCAGCAAAAGCTCTGAGCGAGATAAGGAATGGTTGTGCTCAACCCCCCACGCCGCTCTCGGAACTGCTGCTGGCCCATATGGCAACGTTGTGGGAACTAGAAAAGGCGCCCCTTCCCCAAGGCCTCGCCTGCCACCTGCTGGAACACTGCAGTATTGCAAGTTTATGATGTCCGGGGGGCGAAGTGCAGCGAGCCGACACCCTCCCCCTGCCAGGACCGGGACTCACAAGCCTTCCTTCTGTCCTTCCAGGAGCGCCTTGAACAGGGGTTTGTTGGGAGTGATGGTCTGCAGGATGCTGCCGTCTGAGCTCACGTGGCCGATGGCCCACTGCCCCAGGCGAGTGCAGCTGGGTCGGAAGATGTAGCTGCAGGAAGGGGCAGGTAGCATGGGGGGTGGGGAGGGGTGGGGGAGAGGAATGGTCAGCACTGTCTCTTCTGGGACTTCGCAGCCCCTCACACTGTTGGGAATCAAGGTGTCTAAGTTCTCATCCCCGTATAACCCGGCTTCCTGCTTTTTAGGCAACGAGGCCTTATGTTACTGTCTGCCCCCCTTCCTCGCTCACCAGGGTTTAGACAAGGTTGATTCTGGCTTGGCCAATCGGTGCACTTCAGGACCCCTGACCACAGTGATGGGAGTCAGCCCTGGGACTTCCGCTGGGAGTTCTAGTGAGGTACCCCATGCTGCAGGGGTAGCTAAGCTGGTAGGGTATACAGCTGGGAATTCTAGACTCCGTGGGGAGGCCATGTCTGTGAACCAAGCTAACACAGACGAAGGCCGGGACTGGGGATAGATCAACAGGATCCGATTCTTGACAATGGCACCTGGACCCAGCGCTGCCTGAAGCCTGGAGAGACACGTGGTCTTTTCAATTATGTGAATGAATTCATCCCTTTTTCTTTCCCTTTAAACCAGTTTGCAGTGCAACTGGGAAAGTGCTAATACACGTGCTGTCCTGGGGGCCCCTGCACCTCAGCCCTGCAAATACTCACAATCTGACCTCCTGTTCCCTTGACCTCTTGGTATTCTAGGGAGCTCAGCCCCTCAATTCTTAACCCTCTGGGGAGACCCAACAGCGCAAAGCTCCTGGCTTGAAATAATTTCAGGACTCAGGTGTCTGGCTCACAGTCTCCTACCCCAGATATGGGAATTCCTATTAAAAATATTTACTAGCCCTGGCCAGCGTGGCTCAGTGGTTGAAGCATCATCCTTTGCACAGAAGGGTCAAAGGTTTGATTCCCAGTCCAGGGGTGCATGCTGGAGACAACCAATCAATGTTTTTCTCTCACATCAATGTTTCTCTCTCTCTCTCTCTTCCTCTCTCTCTCTAAGATCAATGAACATGTCCACAGATGAGTATTGAAGAAGAAAAGAAAAAGAAAAAATGTATGTGTATATCC